GCAGGTGCTACCTTTCAATCTGAATAGGGGCCTTAACATACAAACATCTTTCTCGCGATCTCTTGCGCGCTCTCTCTCTCTCACACACATACGTACACGATACCATTTTATTTTTTCCCAGGTGAAAAATGAGATTTGGATTTTCAAAATTTACTAATTTGCATAGAAATAAATTTCAAAAGGCTTAATGCAAAAGTTTTATGCCTACACCATAAATTTAGGAAGTCAGCCTCCTAAAAGGAATATTTAAATACACGAAGACACATACGCGATGAATATTATTTATTAGAATTAAAACTTAAGGGCCACTAAAAGAAACGGAAAGTGATATTTATATTAGCAAAAACAATGCCCATGTATAAATACTACTCCTATTCTTGGTGCAAAACAAGAATCAATCATTTTTTATTAAAAATTTGGAATAGCATATTTATTAGCCCATTAGTTTTGAAAACCTCCTACAAAATCAGAAACATGTTCTTCTAAAGCAAACCTAATAGTTCATTGGAAGTAAAAATATTATCAAGAAATATTACCTTCACCACAAAGCATAACCATCAAAACACTTTCCAAAATCATATTTAATGCTGGCAATCATTATTATTATATAATCAGTTAAGCCCCCAAAAGTATTGGGAAAAAATATACACTTGACCATTTTCAATCACAAGTTCTTTAGAGAATACAACATTCTTTGAGCAAAACCTCATGAGAACTAGAATTCCCTTTTCAATATAAAGTCTCTCCTAGAGCTGTAACTAAATATTACTGAGTGGCAGAAAAACAAATCTCAAGAAATGACGGACTCAAGAAAATTTCATTGAAGAAAGCACAGAGCAAGTTCTAATAATACCAATTTGAAAATGAAAGCTCCCCTGCTTCAAGAGAAGCAGATATAAAAACTCACAGTAATGTCTAAAAGACCCAGCTGGATCTGTTGAGCCTCAGATGGACTTTAATAAGCATGATCACTAAGTGCCTTAAACTAGAAATTCAGTTTTATTTAGTAGTTGATTAAATCATTATTAAATTCATAGATTTTGAAACTAAAAGCTCAATTTCCAATCAAAATTTTTTATAGTCAAATTCTGTCAAGTTTCATATTCTGTGTTCACATCTTCACGTAAACATGAAAATAAATTTGTTAAGTCCTTGGATGTCCTATGTTGAAATCCTACTAATTCTATGACATTCAAAATAATAATTATATACCATTAATTTATTAGTTGTATCTTTTAAATCTATACATTGAATAAAAGTAATTTTGTTAATATAAAAGTATAATTAGAATACAAAGAAATGATAAATGTTTGAGATAATACAGTAATTACCCAGATCTGATCACTTTATGTTATATATATCAAAACATCACAGTGTACCCTACAAATACGTATTAATACAATTATTTTGTGTCATTTAAAAATAAATAAAGTATAATTAAAGTTGGCAGGTTTATATTTATTAAAAACCCACAAAAGACAACATACTCAGTTTAGAGTTTTCCAAAATTATGTTTTATATTTATATAATATCTCTCTCTCAACAGGGGAGCTATCACTGTCCAAGTAGTTTATTAAGACTTTCTGTATCCTGGGCTAGATGATCTCTAAAGCCTCTAACAGCTCTGCTGCTGTATCTAGCCCAGGATACAGCTATAAGGCTATGCTGTACTAACACATACAAAGTTATTTGTAAGTCTCAAAATTCCTCAAGTCTTTGTATCTTATTAATAACACCTTGATCTCACGAGTAAACCTACAGAGGATAGTGACTTTAACTTTCTTTTGCAATGTAACAGAGAAAATAAAGACCAAGACTTAAATAATGACCATGAATCTGACCTAAACTAGAAAACAAGCTGGTACCTCAAAGGGGAAGAAAACTTACCTGTCGGTAATTTATGCTTCCCATCTATAGTCTGTAAAATACTAAAACTATTATGCTCAAAAGAAATATAACGGTGGAAAAGACACACTAGGGTATGTAAAATCATGGCATGTCATTAAAACAATTTCATTTCTAAAAGCAAAAGAAAAAATCTTCCTCATAAGTCATTCTCTCTTCAGTCAACAACAATTATGAATTCAAAGCACAAATAACAGCAAGACTGTGAATGCAGAACTAGAAAAACTTCATTTCTTAGGGCTTAAAATTTTAATTTGGCAGAAACACCTTTCAAGAGAAATTTTTCAGGCCTTCTTTCCCCCAAAGGCCACTAATCTACTGAGAAAAGTCAATAAAGGAATATGTACAAGAAAAAATATATTTAGGAAAAGTGATAGAATAGTAATTTATAAAAAGAAAAACATTGTACTTACTATTTAAAGACATTTTCATTAAACAGGTCTTAAATTTCATATTATGGACAGGTAAAGAAATAGAGAACAACAGCTCTAATAAGCATAAAACAGAAAAGTTAAAAGAAAGTTAACAGGGAAGAAGAAAGAAGAGAAAGATGGAAGAAAATAAGACACAAAGCTATGAGTTTAAGAGAGATGAAAAAATTAAGAGGAACATATTAACGGTCTGAGCCACATAAATTGTACATCACTTAGTCTGGCAACCTGAGGAAGTTTTTCAAACAACCCATTCGGCAAGGAACTATTACATTATTCACAGATCTGCAACTGCTTTTAGCAATCCATCAAGCTTTGAAGAAACAGCCTACAATTTTCAGCATCATTATCAAAACAGTAGTGTTTAATGGGTTAATACAATGAATACAATGAGTGTAGAGGGTCCCAACAGGCAAACATAGGTTGCTGGTGAGCTGTCACTTGCATTATTTGAGACCATATATCACTCTGTAAAAGTTTTAGAAAAAAAAATCTGTTGGTACCAAGTAAATTTTCTTTATCACTAAATATGCATATGCTCTGTGGTGAGTTAAACCAGTCTCATTTTACTTTTGTATCTACTCACTAAAGTGCTAGAAAACTAGAATTAGGAAAATTCATGCAACCTATATTGGTGAATATGTCTTAACTCTTGCATTCTTAGTTATAACCCTGGCTTATTTTCCAAACTATTCAGTACAATATCTAATAAGCAAGCAGACCAAATGCAGTACTCAGCTCAACGACCCTGACATATTTTTCTCCACTACTGAGTCAACCTCCTGAACTAGGAGGTAAGAGTTAAAACAGCCAATGAAATTTAAGATAACACATTACAGTGAACAGATGCTAAAGTAGACTACACAGAGGGCTTTTAACTTTCTAAAACATCACATTCAAAATACCAAACTGCAAACTGATTTCTAGAACAAGCAATGATATCAATTCCCTGAATAACAACACAGCAAATATCTTGAGATAAATGGAAAATGTATATAATATTGGATCATCTGACAAAACAATGAAGAGTTTTAACTATATCCCATTATTAGCTTTTGATCTGGGCAGCACTGATTTGGTGACCAAATCCTAGTATAACCCAGGGTCCACCTTTTTTGAGGAGAGTAATAGCCATTGTCCTCAATAACTAAATCACTAAAACTTTTGGAATATAACTGAAAGTGAAGTAGTCAAGCCTCTGAGGAAAGTATATACGTGTAGAACAAAACAAAGAAGTAATACGGTATTACCAAAAACTTTACACTCTCCCTGGTGGGGTCCCCAGCAAACTGCAGAGAAGAGGATTCTGCATCAACCAAATAAATCCATCGAACAAATGTTTATTGAGTCAAGTACTATAGTGGAATCTAGGTATGTAAAATGAAGTAAGCTAACCTGAATGCCTTCATATCCTCTTGGGAGACATAATACACATCAAATTTCAGTGAGTATTATGATAAAGATGCTGAACTAAGTACTAAAGAAATACTGTTGAGGAGGCATAGAATTTTAACTTAAGGGGGATGACAGTGGGGAAGACAGAAACACAGAAAGCTTCACAGATTGCAAGATATCAGACCTGGGCATCACAGGATGTATAGAAATCTGTCAATGGAAACAAAAAGGAGCATTTTAGTCACTGCAGGTCAAAGAAATGAAAAACCTGAATAAAAATAAGAATATATGAAAAGATGTGTTTAGATCAAGTGCAGTGGTTCATACCTTAATCCCAGCATTTTGGGAGGCCAAGACAGGAGAACCACTTGAGGCCACTTGTTTGGTGCCAGCTTGGCCAACACAGCGAGATCTCATCTCTGTAAAAAAATTTTTAAACCAGCCAGGCACAGAGGCACACATCTGCAGTCTCAGCTACTCAGGGGGCTGAGGCAAGAGGAGCGCTTGAGCCCAGGAGTTGGAGATTACAGTAAGCTAGGGTTGCACCACTGCACTCTAGCCTGGGCAACAGAGTGAATGAAATCCCATCTTTAAAAAAAAAAAAAGAAAAGAAAAAAATGTGTTTACAAAACAAGGAACACTATAATGAAGCTAAAGCAAGACAGATAGAGGACAAAGGCAAAAGAGGGTAGAAAAGTTAACATGAAGACAAAAGGAAAAGGTCCTGAGATTACACAACAAGAAACTGGCCGTTATTTCAAAAACAACAGGGAGACACTGACATGCTGATGCGTTTTGAATAAAGAGAGGTTGACAAAAACAGATCAATATTTTACAAAGATAAATTTGGTTATAGTGTAAAAGCTAGATTACTGGAGAATGGAGAGAGAGTGATCAGGTACAAAACAATTACAAAAGGAAGTCTTTGAAATCATCAGATGTGTTCATTACAAACCCCAATCACCCTTAATCTAAGTAACACTGTTTTATGTACGATAAAAAAATGAAAACATTTGAATACATTTTTGAAAATTCTGTAATTCAGAGTTTTTACTAGTTCAGTTAGTTTCCCCCAATTATTCCAAATCAGAGAGATTTCATTATGTATATCTTTGATGTAATCAGCATTTCGTTTTGGAAATTTTGTTTGTCACTAAAATAACTTTCATACTATTATCTCATGGAATGTAGTGAGGAAAAACAACCCTGCTATACATCAACTATGACCCAGTAAAGTGATTGCCATAGGGTTTTCTTTTTTATTCTTACCATTACTACTTCTTCCTGTAACTCACTGCAACTTTTTTCATTATACTGGAGTCTCTTTGAGAGGTCTATAATTACTTTCTTCTGTTCCTCGATCTCTTCATTTAGTTTCTTGTTTTTGGAGAAATACTCTCTTTCTAATCTGAAAAGTTAAAGTGTCAGAGCAGGTTTTTCAAACATGCTTATATCAACTGATATTATACACCTTTAAGACATATGGCAGATGTACTACATATCATGTGTTCATGCTAAAAGACTTTTTAAGGCTGCCTTTCCTTTTTCAAACAAAATGTACTGCATATTCTTAAATGAAAAACTTCAAAGCAATATTACTTCCCCTTTGATAGTAGGTATTTGTAGTATGCCCAAGGCTATAAGCAAAATAGATTTGGTTAGTGTTGATTTGGTTGTACCGTCATTTTTGATGAGCAAAACCCACCTACCATAGTTCAATTCTCAAGAATGAGAAAACAGTACTACCAAACAATTTTAAAATTAAAATACAACATTAAAAATGGAACAAATGTCTCACATCTGAATGTCCATGCAAGTAGAACCAGTGTGGTGGCTTGGAAAATCCAAAAGGAAGAATAATCAAAAAAAATTCACATTCACTTTGAAGACATATGAATTTCTTTTCAAAGGATTCACCTTCCTATTTAAGTTTTGCTCAGAAAGGCCAGGTGCAGCTGCTCACAACTGTAATCCCAGTACTTTGGCAGTCCATGGCAGGAGGATCATCTGAAGCCAGGAGTTTAAGATCAGCCTGGGCAACAAAAGAAGACTCCATTTCTACAAAATAATTTAAATATCAGCCAGGCACAGTGGTGTGTGTCTGTAGTTCCAGACTCTCAGGAGGCTGAGGCAGGAGGACTGCCTGAGCCCAGGAGTTCAAGGTTGCAGTGAGCTATGATTGTGCCACTGCACTCAGTCTAGGTAACAGATTGAGATCCCATCTCTTATATATATATAAGACTCACACACACATAATATATACACATACATGGCTGTGTGTGTGTGCATATATATAGAGAGAGAGAGAGAGATAAAGAGAGAGAGAAATGAACAAGGCCTCCAAGAAATACGGGCCTATGTGAAAAGACCAAACGTGCATTTGATTGGTTCACCTGAAAGTGACGGGGAGAATGGAACCAAGTTGGAAAACACTCCTCAGGATATTATCCAGGAGAACTTCCCCAACCTAGAAAGGCAGGCCAACATTCAAATTCAGGAAATACAGAGAACACGACAAAGATACTTCTCAAGAAGAGCAACCCCAAGACAATAATTCTCAGATTCACCAAGGTTGAAATGAAGGAAAAAATGTTAAGGGCAGCCAGAGGGAAAGATCAGGTTACCCACAAAGGGAAGCCCATCAGACTAACAGCACATCTCTTGGCAGAAACCCTACAAGCCAGAAGATAGTGGGGGACCAATATTCAACATTCTTAAAGAAAAGAATTTTCAACCCAGAATTTCATATTCAACCAAACTAAACTTCATAAGTGAAGGAGAAATAAAATATTTTACAGACAAGCAAATAAGAGATTTTGTCACCACCAGGCCTGCCTTACAAGAGCTCCTGAAGGAAACAGTAAACATGGAAAAGAACAACTGGTACCAGCCACCGAAAAAAACCCGCCAAATTGTAAAGACCATCAATGCTATGACAAGCCTGCATCAATTAACGGGCAAAATAACCAGCTAACATCATAATGACAGGATCAAATTCACACATAATAATATTAACCTTAAATGTAAATGGGCTAAATGCCCCAAGTAAAAGACACAGACTGGCAAATGCATAAAGAGTCAAGATCCATTGGTGTGCTGTACCCAGGAGACCCATCTCACATGCAGAGACACACGCAGGCTCAAAATAAAGGGATGGAGGAAGATCTACCAAGCAAATGCAAAAAAAAAAAAAAAAAAAAAAAAAAGCAGGAGTTGCAGTCCTAGTCTCTGATAAAACAGACGTTAAATCAACAAAGATCAGAAGAGAAAAAGAAGGGCATTACATAACGGTAAAGGGATCAATTCAACAAGAAGAACTAACTGTCCTAGATACATATGCAACCAATACAGGAGCACCCAGATTCATAAATCAAGTTCTCAGAGACTTACAAAGAGACTTAGACTCCCACACAATAATAATGGGATACTTTAAAACCCCTCTGTCAACATTAGACAGATCAACGAGACAGAAGGTTAACAAGGATATCCAGGACTTAAGCTCAGTTCTGGACCAACTGGACCTAATAGACATCTACAGAATTCTCTACCCCAAATCAAAAGAATACACATTCTTCTCAACACTGCATCGCACTTATTCTAAAACTGACCACATAATTGGAAATAAAACATTCCTCAGCAAATGTAAAAGAACAGAAATCACAACAAACTGTCTCAGACCACAGTGCAATCAAATTAAAACTCAGGATTAAGAAACTCACTCAAAACTGCACAACTACATGGAAAGTGAACAACCTGCTCCTGAATGACTTCTCAGTAAATAACAAAATGAAGTCAGAAATAAATATTATTTGAAAGCAATGAGAACAAAGACACAATGTACCACAATCTCTGGGACACATTTAAGGAAGTGTGCAGAGGGAAATTTATAACACTAAATACCCACAAGAGAAAGCAGGAAACATCTAAAATCGACACCCTAACATCACAATTAAAAGAATTAGAGAAGTAAGAGCAATCAAATTCAAAAGCCAGCAGAAGGCAAGAAACAGCTAAGATTAGAGCAGAACAGAAGGAGATAGAGACACAAAAAAAACCCTTCAAAAAAAAATCAATGAAACCAGGAGCTGGTTTTTTGAAAAGGTCAACAAAATAGATAGACTGCTAGCAATACTAATAAAGAAGAAAAGAGAGAAGAATCAAATAGATGCAATAAAAAATGATAAAGGGGATATCACCACCAATCCCACAGAAATACAAACTACCATCAGAGAATACTATAAACACCTCTATGGAAATGAACTAGAAAATCTAGAAGAAATGGATAAATTCCTGGACACATACACCCTCCCCAAGACTAAACCAGAAAGAAGTTGAATCTCTGAATACACCAACAACAGGTTCTGAAATTAAGGCAACAATTAATAGCCTATGAACCAAAAAAAAAAGCCCAGGACTGGACAGTTTCACAGTCAAATTCTACCAGAAGTACAAACAGGAGCTGGTACCATTCCTTCTGAAACTATTCAAATCAATAGAAAAAGAGGGAATCCTCCTTAACTCATTTTATGAGGCCAGCATCATCCAGATGCCAAAGCCTGGCAGAGACAGAACAAAAAGAGAGAATTTTAGACCAATATCCCTGATGAACATAGATGCAAAAATCCTCAATACAATTCTAGCAAACCAAATCCAGCAGCACATCAAAAAGTTTATCCACAAAGATCAAGCTGGCTTCATCCCTGGGACGCAAGGCTGGTTCAAAATACGCAAATTAATAAATGTAATCCATCACATAAACAGAACCAACAACAAAAACCACATGATTATCTCAATAGATGCAGAAAAGGCCTTCGACAGAATTCAACACCCCTTCATGCCAAAAACTCTCAATGAACTAGGTAAGGATGGAACATATCTCAAAATAGTAACAGCTATTTATGACAAACCCACAGCCAATATCATACTGAATGGGCAAAAACCGGAAGCATTCCCTTTGAAAATCAACACAGACAAGGATGCCCTCTCTCACCACTCCTATTCAACAAAGTGTTGGAAGTTCCAGCCAGGGCAATCAGGCAGGAGAAAAAAATAAAGAGTATTCAATTAGGAAAAGAGGAAGTCAAATTGTCCCTGTTTGCAGATGACATGATTGTATATTTAGAAAACACCATCGTCACAGCCCAAAATCTCCTTAAGCTGATAAGCAACTTCAGCAGAGTCTCAGGATACAAAACTCAATGTGCAAAAATCACAAGCATTCTTATACACCAATAACAGACAGAGAGCCAAATCATGAGTGAAATCCCATTCACAATTGCTACAAAGAGAATAAAATACCTAGGAATCCAACTTACAAGGAATGTGAAGGACTTCTTCAAGAACTAGAAACCACTGCTCAGGAAATAAAAGAGGACACAAACAAATAGAAGAATATTCCATGCTCATGGGTAGGAATAATCGGTATCATGAAAATGGCCATACTGCCCAAGCTAATTTACAGATTCAATGCCATTGCCATCAAGCTACCAATGATCTTCTTCACAGAATTGGAAAAAACTACTTTAAAGTTCATATGGAACCAAAAAAGAACCTGCATGGCCAAGACAATCCTTAGCAAAAAGAACAAAGCTGGAGGCATCACGCTATCTGACTTTAAACTATACTACAAGGCTACAATAACCAAAACAGCATGGTACTGGTACCAAAACAGAGATATAGACCAATGGAAAAGAACAGAGATCTCAGAAATAACACCACACATCTACAACTATCTGATCTTGACAAACCTGATGAAAACAAGATATGGGGAAAGGATTCCCTATTTAATAAATGGTGTTGGGAAAACTGGCTAGCCATATGCAGAAAGCTGAAACTGGATCCCTTCCTTACATCTTATACAAAAATTAATTCAAGATGGATTAAAGACTTAAATGTTAGACCTAAAACCATAAAAACCCTAGAAGAAAACCTAGGCAATCCCATTCAAGACATAGGCATGGGCAAGGACTTCATTACTAAAACACAAAAAGCAATGGCAACAAAAGCCAAAATTGACAAATGGGATCTAATTAAACTAAAGAGCTTCTGCACAGCAAAAGAAACTACCATCAGAGCAAACAGGCAACCCACAGAATGGGAGAAAATTTTTACAATCTATCCATCTGACAAAGGGCTAATATACAGAATCTACAAAGAACTTAAACAAATTTACAAGAAAAAAATCAAACAACCCCATCAAAAAGTGGGTAAAGGATACGAATAGACACTTCTCAAAAGAAGACATTTATGCAGCGAACAGACACATGAAAAAATGCTCATCATCACTGGCCATCAGAGAAATGCAAATCAAAACCACAATGAGATACCATCTCACACCAGTTAGAATGGCGATCATTCAAAAGTCAGGAAACAACAGGTGCTGGAGAGGATGTGGAGAAATAGGAACAC